CTACTTATACTGACTAATTCCTTATCTAACGTCTCTGGATCGCCACTTATGACTTTTGCTCGGTGTTGTAAGCATCGGACGATCCCTTTCTTTACGCTGTATGGATGGTGGGAGTTGAAATTGAGGTACTGTCCGGTGAATGTTGGTTTACTGGAGATAACTGATAACTGACATCCATCAAACATGGCACGTGGAATTAGAACAGTCTACCCCAGCGATCGAAATAAAGGGTTCAGTTCGAAATTCCAACCACCTGAAGAAGGCCGGAGCGTACAACAGCCGAAACGTTGTGACAAATATGGCGACAAAGATGAGGACAATAGTCCGACTAATGTAAATACTATATATATATATATATATATATATATACATTTCGTGCCAAATTATTATCGAGATAACCTTTTTCTAATATTTCAAAGACTGTCCAATCAATTCAAAATTTTCACAATGTTGGCAACACTGACCTGAGCAATCGCTGAATATATATATATATATATATATATATATATATATATATATATATAGAGAGAGAGAGAGAGAGAGAGAGGGTGGGTGAGACAGAGACAGAGGCAGAAAGACAGACAGAGAGTGATCGGTCGGGTAGTTAGAAAGTAAGAGATGTTTATAAAATTCTGCACTTTGAGTATTGGTGCAAATAAAATAGTGCTCGATCTATAATAACAAAGCTATAATTTATATTAATAATAAATATACATTTTTTTCTTGTGCAATTGGTGTGGAAAAAATTATATTTATTAATATTATGACTACAGCCTTTATGTTGATGAGCTTGTGAGTTATTTGAAGGTGTAGAAATGTTGTTATCATGTTCATACCTCCGATTTTTAAATGTTCATTCTCCTAGTTTGGTTACCATCCATGTCTAGAAAAATCCAAATTTGCTTTGCTATTTTTCGCACAAGTTGGAGGCAATAGAAAGAGATTCAAATTCTTTTTTTTTTCAAAGGAATTCATGCGAAGAGAATGTAAACTACATCAAGCAGAATTTTAAGACATTTCTTCTGTTGTTAACTCTTTAGACATCCGTCCCTCCGAATTATTACACTGAATTAAGTAAACCTTTGAGCCCTGACCACCACTTTACCTCTGGTAGAGAAAAATGAGTAAATCCCCAGCTACGGTGGTTAAACACTTGTAACTATTTTTTATATCTAACGTGAAACATTACATGCCAATTATTTGCAAACTTTGACTCAGGAGTTTAGGCAGAAGGGGTAAAATTGTTTAGGAACGCAGGAGTGAAAGGGTTACTGTTGTACAATGGATAGCAACTCAGAATTGGAAATTCGATTTCCAGTCAAGTCCGTTATATACATTTATGCGCAACTAACCTTGAATGAGTTCATTTCTTTCTCCATTTATAGAAAGATTTGTTTCTGGAAAAATCATTATTCTCCAAAAGGTTTAATGTAATATTCACTGGTAAAAAAAAAGAAAAAAAAACAATTATGTTTACTCGCAAAAATCCCATCAAATCAAACTAAGACGATCCCAGTACTTAATGTTCATAATGATTCATTTAAATACTATTAAGAGCTATCGCTGTTCAATATTGGCGATCAGATGAAGAACAATTATCAGTCATCCCATAAGTTCTGTCCGAATTTTGAATAAAGAAAACAAGTGACCAAATGTTACATTTAATTACAGATTCAATCAACAATGTATTTTCCCTGATTATCTATGACTTCCTTCCATCTATTAACAAGCTTACTAATTCCATTACTATAAAATTCTTTTGGCTTTGATTCGAAGAACTCACAAATGTCAGTTTTAACCTCTTCCTGTGTTACAAAAACTGTTTCTTCCAAATGATTCTGTAAGCTACGAAACAAATGGTAGTCTGAAGGAGCAAGATCGGGAGAATAAGGTGGATGAGGAATTTTCTCCCAACCAAGTTCTTCGATCTTTTGTGACGTGATTCTTGCTGTGTGGGGTCTCGCATTGTCCTGATGAAACATCACCTCTTTTCGATTCACTAGATCAGTTCTTTCTTCCTCAAAGCTTGGTTCAAACGCTCTAATTGCTGACAGTATATTTGAGCATTAATTGTTGCATTAGGTGGTAAGAATTCAAAGTGGATTATTCCTTGGCGATCCCACCAGATTGAAAGAAGAACCTTTTGCCCATGAAGTTTCCTTCTTGGCTGTGGCTGTGGTCCTTCCCCTTTACCAAGCCACTGTCTACGACGCTTAACATTTCGATAAAGATCCATTTTTCGTCGCCAGTCACAAGTCTATCCAAAAAAGGTGAAACAAGTTGGCGAGAATCGAGAGAAGAGCAGATGTCAACTCGGGATTTGAGGTTGTTTTCAGACAATTCATGAGGCACCCATTTTCCAGGTTTAGGAACTTTTCCAAGTTGTTGAAGATGACGATGAACAGTTGTATGGTTTGAACTGAGAACCACTGCCAATTCCTCAACTGATAAATCAGGATTTTCTTTAAGGGCTGCTTCAAGAAGCTTTTCATCAAACTCAACTGGACGTCCGGTTCGATCTTCATCTGCAAGGGTGAAATCTCCACCTCTGAATTTTGCAAACCATCTTCTGCAAGTTCTTTCATTCACACATTCCTCTCCACAAACTGAGTGAATGTTTCTAGCCGCTTCGGCTGCTGAGTTTCCTTTCTTGAACTCATAAAGCATTATGTCCCTCAAATGATTCTTGGGTACTTCCATGTTAGCAGGGTTTTAATCAAACAAAATTTAATTTTATTGTTCTCTGAAATAAAAATTGATCAGTTTAAATGCATCTAAACATGAAAATAATGTTCAGCTCCATTAGACATTATAAAATACTTTTTAAATTTCGTTCATTTTAACAAAAAGTTAAAATTCGGACAGAACTTATGGGATGACCTGATACTTTGCACAGGATCGAACCGTAAACCAAAAGGCTAATAGAAAATTCCACCTTTTTTCGTTTATTTCGTTGTGTGTGAAATTGAATACTCCAACCAGTATATGAATTTAGTCTTCATCCATTTCATACTCATGGACGCGCACTATAGTACATCATCTTTCTGTGCCGCGTCACTTCTTTAGTAAGAAATAAGTTCTATTCGAGCAATTTCTTTTCACGAACCCCTGCTTTGTGATACCGACTCCCAAGAGCCTATTCGAGTCTTGTGTTAAAATCTATCTTTCTCACATATCGGCATAAACTGTACCTCTTACTCTGTAACCCCCTACCTCGAGAGGTTCCTCGGTCTTGTACAAGGTGGACATCATTGTAATTAAAAAAAATTAACCTTTCCTTATGAGGAAACATTCGGCATTCATTTATCGAGCAACCAGATTTACTCGAATTCTGCGTATCGTCACTCCTTGGTCATCGGCTGGGATCAAATTGTAATATCTGTTCTCTTCCTCTTTAATGATAATATTAGCCGTTTACTAACCGGCTGTAACAGCAAAATTGTCCAAATCATGTTAATTCATAATGGTTCATCCCACAAATTATTTAATATCTAAAAAACCACTAAACTCAGTGCGTTTCATTTCTCCAGATTTTAAGATAAGCCATCTTGAAGAATCAATGAAAAATCCTTTGAGTTATTGAGTCAGAAATAGAACAGGTTAAAATCGTTTTGTGTCAGACCCACTGTCTGTCTCAAATGAGCAATGGTGGAGGAAAAAATCATTCAGGCCTTCAGTAATGGCACCATCATTCAAACTCTGGCTTCCATCTTCAAAGTCTGTTCAAGAACTGTTAAGAGAACAGTGAATAAATTTCAAAACGTGAACAGTAGAGCGGAAAACTGGATCAGGAGTGCAAAACAAGAGGGGTCATCATTTCAACTTAGAACTAAAAAGATCAGTTAGTAAAGATCCAACTCAATCCATAAGATGTATGACATGTAAAAGATGAGTTACAGCATCGCCTGTCAAAGGAGCAGTGAAAAAAGATTTTAGTAACTGATTTTTTTAGTACGTAAAACCAGTGAGGCAACAGAAAGTTAGAAGGTTAGAGAGGACGAAGAACATCTTGAATAAGTTGGAAATGATCCTGGAATATATATATATATATATATATATATATATATATATATATATATATATATATATATATATATGAACATTATTTCAATACTTCAATTAATGATGAATATATCATTTTCGCTGATGATTGATTTCATCACGATACTTCTGTTAATCTTGGAGAGTAATTTTACATTCTTATTGCTCAAAGTATAGTGCAATAGTGTTACAAAAACCTCAGAGAATTCCAATAAGATATCTTTAATCATTTCTAAGGTACAACGGTTTAGAGCTTAATCCAGCAATTGGACAATTTTGGTGTTACAGGATTTGGACAATTTTGCTGTTACCCTCGGTATAATTAGACATTCGTTATTCATTGAGCGAGCAGCTAGTGCTACATTCATTTGAAATTCATAAAATCTTTCCATTTAAATAAATTTTCAGAAAAATCCGTTTCCCAAGCCTAGTAACTATTATTGCTCTTTTCCGTATTCATGGGGTTTTCCTTCCTAAACTTTTTCTGTTAAGTATTGTGGATTGTCACCATCTTATGTAATTTTTGTTGCTTCGAAATACATCTAATAAGATGCCCTCATGGGGGTTAGCATCAGCCATTCCTGTCCATTTTCGTTTTTGCTGCTACTGAAAATCCTTGATATGGCTTCTGTTATTTAGAATATTTTTTTATTTGTGATACTGTAACCTTAGACCCGAATGCGAATTATATACTGGAGATAGGTGCCGGGGATTGAACCGACATGGTATTGTCTTTTTTTTTCATTACAATAGTCCAGATGGAATTTATCTCTTACATTTTTTTAACTGTATTCATTCTAAACAAGGCAATAAATCCACTAAGACAAAAGTGGGAGTGGAAGTATTAGAAAATAGTAACATTACAAAGGAGCTAGAACTCTAGAAGAGTAATCAGGAGGAGAATAGACAGCGATTGAAATTGCATTTAAATTCTTGAAGATTAAAGTTGAATGGAATACATGGAACAGAGAGAGAGCGAGAGAGAGAGAGAGAGAGAGAGAGAGTTCCACAAATGAGAAAAGAAACGTCATTTTGGAAAAGTAAGGCGATTTTAGCAATTAGAAATTATTCAAGAAATGAGGCTGAAGATAGTAATGTGAATGATATAGGTGTTGGTGCAACTGGATGTGATTTTAAAACGACATTGAGGCAGACGTAGGAAAGTAAATCAAAATAAAAAGATAAAAGATAATATTAAGAGACTTAGTTTCTGAGTAGAAACATGTCATCACTTAAAAAAAACGACGACGTAATTTTGTTTACAGGAATTCAGTGTCTCGGAAGTGAGAATCTTGTGACTTCCGCATCAAAGGTTCTGTTTAATTTAGGAATCAAATCTCTACACCTACGTGAGAAGCAGCAGCTTTTTAGAACCACTGATTAAATTAATTAAAAAAAAACAAAAAAAACAACGAAGGCTGACGAGTAATGTATCGATACAATGTCTCCTATGTTTATCACTGAATAAAACGTAGTACAAAGTCGAAATTGGTGTTTTAGCGTCAATCTATTAAATTGAGAAGCCCTATTCACATATGAAATCACTATATATATATATATATATATATATATATATATATATATATATATATATATAATTTAGGAAAATTCGGTAATTTTGACAAGCTAGGGAAATTTGGTAACTATGAAATAAAAGTCGATGGAAAATTCATTTTAAGGCCGTTCTGGAGTGAGGATTTGATGGCTAAGACCTCCTCACCTATATTTTTAAATAACTGAAAATTGTGGGGTCCAGATAAAACCACACAACAACAATACCAGGATTGTACATGCAGAAGAGGGGTTTTATGGGGCTATGCCCCACCTCCAATAACTTTAAATGAATATTTTTTAAATAAGTATTTCTTTGATTACTGCAGTCTATTGTTTTTATTCAAGCAAATACAATCGATTCATGTAAGTTAAACTTAAGTTATTGTATCTTTTTTTCAAATTATTATTTTAATAAAAATGTAATAAATAAAGTTTTAGATTTCAATTGACTTTTATTTCATAGTTACCGAATTTTCCTATCTTGTCAAAATTAACGAATCTTCCGTTACCGAATTTTCCAGGTACCTTATAGATATATATATCTATCTATATATATTTTTTTTTTATATAGAACAATATTTATGTAGAAAAATATATGTATGACAAAGTCGTAAAAGTTTTCTTGCGACGCGTTTCGTCCTTTAGGACATCATAAAAAAAAAGTCAATTTAAGATAAAAATACCCAGCATGTGTAGTATCAGCAACATAACAAATTTAGACCGATGAAGTTCTAAAGGGCGAAACGCCTCACATGAAAAGTTTTCACACTTTGTCATACATCCCCCCATATAAGCAGTAAATTACTGATACCGCAGAAGAAACTGTGAAGTCAGGATGCTGAAGGTAACATCAGTCAGCTAAGTGACAAGAATATATATATATATATATATATATATATATATATATATATATATATATATATATATATATATATATATATTATATATATATATAAAATATATATATATATATGTGTGTGTGTGTATGGGTATACATATATATATATATATATATATATATATATATATATATATATATATATATATATATATATATTGATAATAAGAAGATGGAGATTTCAATTATCTACTTGTTTATAATTTTTATTTCATCAACCACGAGATGTTCATCTCATCAGAACGAACACCTGATCCGCGAATGGAGAATTTACACCGGACAAACACTTTAGATTGGTAGTGGGGAGGGAAGTGAAGGTGAAAGAGAGAGAGAGAGAGGGGGGCTGGGTAAAGATAAGGTTTAGAGATTGGGTCGTGTTTCTTCAAACAAGAATTTACTCTATACTTTTTGAATTTTAATATTGGTTTATATGTTATTTTGGCCGATACCCTTTTTCGTTTTTATGCAGGATAAATCAGGTCAATTCAAATTAATTTAATTAAATGGATCTTAATCTAAATAAAATAATAAATCATTTATACTTAACATCAGGAAGATGCAGTTTCTGGGACACGAGGAAGGAGGGCCTGGAGAATCTGATACTCACGGGTCGAATAGAGGGAACGAGAGACAAAGGAAAGCAGCGCGTGACGTACCTGACTAGCTTGAGCAGATGGATGACAGAACATGGTCTGGGGAGAGGAAGCAGAGGGAAAGAACTTGTTGAGAGCTGCAAAGGATAGAGGGAGGTGGAGAGCCATGATCGCCTACGTCCTGAAAGGACATGGCAAGTAGAAAGAAAAGTGGTTGCGAGTTCAATTCCTGGTTTGGGCAGTGTTTACTTGCACTCAGTGGGAACGGGCGAGCATTATCTGAACAATCCTAGATAAAAATAAGAACTGGACGAGATTTCCCTAGACATGAGCAGTGGAAGGAGAACAGTCTGCTCTCGATGGATGACAGAACATGGTCAGGGGGGGAGGAAGCAGAGGGAAGGAACTTGTTGAGAGTTGCAAGAGATAGGGGCAGGTGGAGAGCCATGATCGCCTACATCCTGAAAGGACATGGCACATAAAAAGAAAAAGAACCCCAGAGAGCATGGAAGTAACTCCATGATAATAATCAGAAGTAAGTAGGAATCTTATAGGTCATCAAATGAGGTAGTATCCATTTTTTTTTATCCGCTATTTCGACAAAATCATTTGACGCATGCGCAGGCGAATACAAACGCATTTTCCTTGCATGTAATTTTTACGGAATTTTTACGGAATTATTAATTATTTGTAAAATGTCTTGCTGTGATCTGGGCTTCAGTTAAAAAAAATTACTATTTCCAAGTAAAAAGGTGTTAAAACTCATACCTGTATCTCATTTGACGGCTTACCATGAAATCGGTGAATATATATTTCCAGGGTATTATATGCTAATTTTAACGCAAACGCTGTCGACTGCCAGTGTTCCTTATATCACCTAACGTCAAAATACAGCAATATGAAATCTAAATAGGTGGGTAGTGTAATACGTCATTATTTTTAAGGTCACATGGGACAGTCTGCCACGCCGGATATAAGATTGCCATATTTATGTTTGACACACAGAGTCGAAAAAGAGAAAAGAAAAGAGTATAAAACCAAGAGGGAGAGAGTATAAAGAGAAAAGAAAAACGGCGAAAAGGAGAAATAATCAAACCAGGAGAAATTCGACACGTAGGCACATGGGCAACCTCATGTATATTCGTGCACACAATAAAAGAAAAAAAACAAACTTACGCCAATAAAAAGGTGCATGAATTATTTTTAAATTTAATCTGAAAATAATGAAAACGAGAAAACAAGGATTCTATTGCTGGTATCTCCTCATGAGTGTACAGAGCGATTGTTGAAAGGTCCGTCTACGAAACTCTGGAGTCGAGTTGCTGAATTTAGCATCAATCGGCTAAGTGGCAAATTTCATATTTGTATTATTCCATTACACACACATGAGACGTTGGATATTATATATATTCAATAATAATAATAATAATAATAATAACAATAATATATATATATATATATATATATATATATGGATCAGTTTAAATATTTTATTTTTTTACCTCTCTCTCTCTCTCTCTATATATATATATATATATATATATATATATATGTGTGTGTGTGTGTGTGTGTGTGTGTGTGTGTGTGTGTGTGTGTGGACACTCATATCCGAGTATGCCCACCTACTAGGTCAGCTAATACCTTTTGCTGACGCTTGCTCAGGCTTTGGCTCAGGTGCATTTTGTGTTTGTTAAATCGCCCACAGGTCAACACCTGGGATTTATACTGCAAGTATGCAGAGAAGACCTGGGTTACAGTTTCTGGGAGAGAAGCGTGTTAGCTAGCGTGATCTAAAATCTGAACAAGGCCAGCACGCTAAAACCCTCGGTCATGATGACTTGTAACTTCGTTCTAGCACAGATATCGACGGTCCCCAGGAGCACTGTCTACACTATTTCACTCACAAGGCTTGGGTCAATATATATATATATAAATATATAGATAATATTATTGGAAAATATACATACATATGCAAAATATATAAATACCCATACATGTATATTTTTAGAAAAAAATTCCAAGAGGAAGAATCCAGTTAGAACTCAATGTCTAGGACAGAGTAAGGATATAATAAAAAGGCTTAAACACTAATATTCCATGGTCATAATTTATTCCATTGGAATCGTAAATACGATCCAATTCATCAGACCTACAAATTCAAAATAAAAACAGAATTGAGAGAGAGAGAGAGAGAGAGAGAGTGAGTGAGAGTGAGAGTGTAATAGGATCTCTATTCAAATATTAAGAATTCACTATCATAACGTTTTTGAAGTAATAAAAAATTTCGGATCAATAATAAATACATTATTTTTTATTAATATATATATATATATATATATATATATATATATATATATATATATATTCCTAAAAAAACAACTACGTTGGTGTTATCGACAGACCACTTTCCAAAAAACAACTTAATCAAGAGAAAGGCATATATATATATATATATATATATATATATATATATATATATATATATATACCCTTACACTGTAGTCTCTTGTTTACAAACAAGTATCGTAGTTACAACAACCAATTTACAATAAATTATAACAAACGTGTATTTACAAAAATCAACATCAAAAAGATCAAAGTTACATTAAGTTCGTTTGAGTATGATCTCGGGGAAGATCGAATGTACTTAGTTTAACAAAAAATACGGCGCTTTCCTTGATGAATTTCAACTTAACATCAAGAAGCTAGAGAACTAGAAAGGTTTATTATAAAATAGACATAATATATCTATATTATTCAATGAAACCCATATATATATATATATATATATATATATATATATATATATATATATAGATAGATAGATAGATAGATATAGGTTGCGATTTTACATTTTTAATTTTGCGCATGCGCGTTGTTTTATTTATTTTGTCGACTGCATAGTGTAAGGTCA